CGCACGGAGCGGTGGCTGCCAGGAGGGGCGGCAAAGGTGTGCGGAGTCTCACCTCCAGCACCCCGCCACGGGCTGCAGGTGAGTGCTTGAGGGTGCGAGGTCTCAAAATCCTGGATTGCACCAGGGAACCAGTGGGTGACTCCCGACTCCCCGGGCAGGCGACGCCCCAGCGGTCCCCCCGGGGTACATGCCCATGACCCGGCTCCTTCATTTACTGCAGGGCACTTTCCAGGTGCCTGGGGAGGGCCTGAGGGCCGGGAGCTTAGACTCCCTCACACAGGGAAGGGCCCCACGCCAATAAAAACTGTGTTCCAAGGGTCTTTGAGAAGGGGAGGCTGCGGTGTGGCCAGGCAGAAATGACACCCACCGCCATCTTTATGAAGGTGTCTCTGGGCGGATCTCTGACCCTCAGGTAACCAAGGAAGAAGGCGGGGCCCTGCACTTGATCTGTTACTGGTTTCCAGATGTCAGGAATGTTCCTATGAGAGTGGAGAGAAGCAGCTGCCTCAGTGGTGTCCTGCGGGGGAACCTCTTCCCTGGAGACTGCTGCGGGGATGGGGGCAGGGGGGACCACCCCTCAGGCCCCAGCTCCTGCCCCCACATGACTATGTGCCTCGGGTCATTCCTTCAACCCTGCGCAGCTCCTTCTCTCATCTGAATACTGAAGAGGTTCTTTTGGACTTCTCTGAGGTCCCTTCCACCTCCGATCAGTCACCCGGAGTCAGTGGCCAGGCACCTACCGCCTTAAAAATCTCGGTTTCATTTCCAGGCTGTAGACGGTGAATTTTCTTAATGGGGAGTTGTTCAGGTAGATATCCCCAATTAAACCTGCAGGAGGGGAGAAAGCGGGCTTTAGAGGCCGGCAGGGTGCAGCCCTGGGCAGGCTCTGTGCCCTGGCTCGCCGGGAGGGGGCGCTGTCCCGGGCAGCTCTGGCCAGCGCGGAGCTGCAAAGGCCTCTGCGGGGTTTCCTTCTGCAGCTCCTGAAGGGGCCCACGCACGTCAGCACTGCAGAGGTGACGGCCGCCTGCCAGGGCCGGCCACACGGGGCTCAGCGGGCTTGGACTCTGATGTTGCAGCCGTGGGGCAGGAGCAGGGCAGTGCGTGTGACTCTGCCAGGACCACTGAGGCTGGGTATAGATGACACGCAGGCACTGGGCTGAGAGACTCTGCCAGGACCACTGAGGCTGGGTATAGGTGACACGCAGGCACTGGGCTGAGGAGGAAGCAGAGCCGCTACGAAGGGACGAGCCGTTTCTACTGCTTAGGGACATCGCTACACTGTCTCCTGACTGTGCTGCCCTCAAAGAGGCTCTGACTTGGTGCCGCGTGGACACAGTGGGAGGAGCCTGGAGGGAGGATGTCCTCACCCTCCCTTCCCAGCAATGCGGTCTGGGTTCAGGCCCAAGGCAGTGGTTCTAGCCCAGAGCACCTGCTCCTCTCCCGGCCTGGGGCCCCCGCCTGGGGTCGCGATGACAGGAATGCAGGGCCCCAGTCCCCAGCTCTGCAATCAGCTGCCCACCTTTCCTCTCTCCGTCCATATCCTGCCCGTCCGCGAGTCGGCCTTGATTCTCCACCAGAATCCTCAGGGTGTGGTAGTCCTGGTAGCCCTGCCCAAGGTGGACCAGAGTGGGCACCAGTCAGGCCTCCCCTGAATCTAAGACAAGGACATCAGCAGGGGGACGGCAGTGGGCAGACCCTAGGACCTTGCAGACCCCCGACTCTGGACTGCAAACCCTTGGCCCCTACTCTTCCTTCTCCCTACTCCTGTCCTGAGTGAGGCCTTTCAGAGAAACGGTCACTTGAACATTTTAACAGAGACTCTGCAGGGGCTGGTGACCAACCCAGGGGCTTTTGAGCAGCGAATATTCCAGGTGGAAAAGCTCTGCTCTCCCAAAGCACCATGCCCGCCCCTAGAGGCAAGCACAGCTCTCCCGCTTCCTCGCTGGGCTTCTCCCAGGAACGGCCCC